GTGTTTATTTGATGAAAAATAAAAGTGATGCTTTTGAAATGTTTAAGTTGTATGTGACAGAATTTGAGAACCAGTTCAACAAAAAGATAAAAAAGTTACGAAGTGACCGTGGAACTGAGTATGATATTAATGCATTTATAGAATTTTATAACTCACATGGTATCATACATGAAAGGACTGCCCCTTATTCTCCAGAAATGAATTGTAAGGCTAAAAGGAACAATAGAACCTTTACTGAGTTAGTAGTTGCTATTTCCTTAAATTCTGGTGCTGCTGATCATTGGTGGGGTGAAATACTTCAATTCTTACCGTTTGTTATATCTTGAACCGTGTTCCAATGACTAAGAGTAAAGTTTCTCCTTATGAAATTCTTCGTAAGAAACAAACTAATATTTCTTATTTTAGAACTTGGTGTTGTCTAGCATATGTTAGGATTTATGATCCTAAAAGAGTTAAGTTAGCTAGTAGAGCTTATGAATGTGTGTTCATTGGATATCTTGTTAATAGTAAAGCATAAAGATCCTTTGATTTAAATGTACGCGTCATTGTTGAATCTAATGATGCTGATTTTATAAGGACAAGTTTCCTTTTAAATATAGAAATAGTGGGGGTTTGTCCTCCTATATTATTCCTGAAGTTAGGTCTAATACACAAGACTTGGATGCTGAACCCGAACTAAGAAAAAGCAAACGGGCTAGAGTAGCAAAAGACTTTGGGCCAGACTTTGAAGTTCTTAATGTAGAGAAGGACCCATCTACCCTCCAAGAAGCCCTAGCCTCAATTGATGCAGACTTATGGCAAGAAGCCGTAAATGACGAAATGGACTGACTTGAGTCTAATCAAACTTGGCACTTAACTGAGTTGCCACCAGGTTGCAAGACAATTGGCCGCAAATGGGTCCTAAAAAGAAAGCTGAAAGTTGATGGCACCGTTGATAAGTATAATGCCCGTTTGGTAGCTAAAGGCTACACACAAAGGGAGAATGTTGATTTCTTTGATACCTACTCACCTGTAACTAGAGTAACATCTATTAGAGCATCAAATGGATGTAAAGACTGCATTCTTGAACGGTGAATTGGAAGAAGAAATCTACATAGACCAACCGGAGGGCTTTGTCATCCCAGGAAAAGAGCATCTGGTATGTAAGCTTGATAAATCTCTTTATGGTCTCAAAAAAGCACCTAAACAATGGCATGAAAAGATTGATAAATGGTAGTGACAAATGCATATATGTAAAATTTGAGAATGACATTTGCACTATAATTTGTTTATATGTAATATTCACGCAGTGAATAATGTAAAGCTATTGTTGAATGCTGAGTTTGACATGAATAATAGGCTTATCATCAACAACTTGAAAGCTTAACCACTTAGTACCAGCATCATCAGTCCCATATTTTTTCTCTAAAGCATTCTAAATATCCTTAGCATGATAAAAACCCATATAAATGTCCAAAAAATTATTTGACATATCATGCAGCAACATGCCCTTACAGGTAGCAAATTTAATATCAGTTTCAGACAAATCATCCTTATCAATAGGTTCAACAATATCATCTAGCACATACGCAACATCAATTTGTTCCCAAAAAAAAAATCGCATCCTAACAGCCCAACGTTTATAATTCTTTCCATAAAGAGGTTCTAACTTCGACATATCGAGAATAAGAAATTTGGAAGTCATAATCATCTTTTAGATTGTTATACTATAAGCAATAAAACAGAAAGAACTTATCTGTTGATGCATGAACCTAAGGTGACAATAGTCGTGTTGTGGTGAACCACTGACCTAAAAGACGATTCCGCACTACCTCCCGGTGTAGTAGACAAGAAGCGATCGCCCTCTAGGATAAGCACGGCGACGAAGTTTATGTGCACTCACAAACCCGAATGGAATTCAGAATATTTGCCCAGAAAACGAAGAACAATGTTTGTTATTTAGAGAGGACAAGTGGTAGGAATTTCTGTGTGTTTTTGCTGAAGAGAGACTTAGTTTATATAGGCAGCAAAGGAAAAAACGGCAAGCATAAAAGAAGGAAACTACTGCAACAATTAAGTAGAATAATGACCAGCTATATCAACATTAAAAAAACGGCTAGATTAATTAAGGAATTAATCACTGATTCCCAACAAGCAAAAATAGTCAAAGCCAGAATAAATTAAGGAATATTCTGTCAAATAAAGTTTCTCCAAAAAGATAAAATAGACCTACGCCCGCGCATTCCCCAAGTCCCAAGTCCCGAGGCCCGACCCGGCTTAGAGCGCACGCGCGCGTGTGTGGTACAACACCCACCTCCACACTACTAGAAATAGGCCGATTTCCGACGGACACTTAATTCCGTCGGAAACGTCAGAAGTATCGATGGATTTTTATTCCATCAAAAATTTCTGACGGAACTAAAATCCGTTGGAATATAAGGGTTTCCGACGGAATATTCTGTCGGAAAATTACTTTTTCGGCGGAATTATAATTCGTCGGAAGTTTCCGACGGAATATTCCGTCGAAATAATAATATTTCCGACGGAATTAAAACCGTCGGAAGATTCCGATGGAATATTCCGTCAGAAAGAAAGTAATTATTAAAAAAAAAACCCTGAAAACCCTAAGCAACCGCCCCCTCCCCCTTATTTCATCCATTTCTCTTTCTCTCTCCTCCTCCTCCTCTGTCATTTCATCTTCTTTCTCTTATCTCTCGTTCTCCTTCTCCCTCATCTTCTTCTCCCTCATCTTCTCCTCTCTCGTTCTCCTTCTCCCTCATCTTTTCCTCTGTCGTTCTTCTTCTCTTCTCCCCTTTCACTTTCATAGCCACCAACACCATCAACGAACACCCTCAACGCAACACAAAGTACGAACACCGTCAACGAACACCTTCAACGACGCCGCCAACACCAAGTTCACCAACAACGACTTTTTTTTTTATTTATGTCAACACAAAGTTCGCCAACACCAAGTTCACCAACACCAAGTAGATCTAGCCTTTTTTTCCTTTTAAATTCCGATTTTAGTTAATTATTGATGTCATTGTAATGTTAGTGTATAATTTTTGTTAAATTTATGTATATTTATATATTTTTTTGAATTGATTTGGGTAATTTTTGTTGATTTTTTATGATAATTTTCGGGTTTTTTTTTTAATTGATTTTTGCTGTTTTGTTTTGGTGTGGGTGGGGTTTAGGTTGGGGGTTTCAGTTTGGTGTGGGTGGGGTATGTGTTGGGGTGGTTTTAGTTTTGTTTGGGTGGGGTGTTGGTGATGTTTTGGTGACAAGGGTTGCAATTTGGTGGGGTACGGTGGTGGGCTAGTGGGTTTGGGTGTGGGTTGGTGGTGGTGTGTGAAGGTGGGATAAGTGGTGGTGTACGGTGGTGGGATAGTGGGTTTGGGTGTGGGTTGGTGGTGGTGTGTGGGTGGTTTCGGTGGTGTTGCGTGGTTGGTGAATCTGGGTTAGGCTTCGGTGGTGTGGGTGGTGGGTGGTGGGTAAGGGTTAAGGAGGAAGGTTAGGGTTCGGTGGTGGTGGCTAAGGGTAGTGGTGGATGAGTAAGGGTAAGGGGTAGGTGTGGCGGTGGGTGGATGAGGGTGGTTGGGGCTAGTAGGGGTGGTGCGTGGTTTTTTTTTTTTTTTTTTGTTTAGAGTTTCCGACGGATTTGAATTCCGTTGGAAAACTTTCCGGTACCGGAAAACTTTTTCCAGTGAATTATTTCCGTCGGAAATCCCGTTAGAAAAATATGTTTTCCGTCGGAAAAAACTATTCCGACGGAATTGCCCGTTTTACCTACAAAGGGTGTTCCGACCACCCGTTCTGACAGAATTTAGGGTGTTTCCGGCGGAATTTAGGGTGTTTCCGACGGAATTTTGCCGTCGAAAATGACCTGTTTTCTAGTATTGTCCAAGTCACTCAACTAGTAGTACTAACATACTACAATATATAAACAAGGAGAAAACCTCTCCCCCCACCAATGTTGGATTTTTCCCTTTCATCTCTCTCTTGTTTTCTTCCAACCTTCTTGTTTTATATCAAGAACTTCCAACATCCTTGAGAAGGTTGTGGAATATCCAAAATTCTGATAACCACCAAGCGTAGAGCACGGAAGCAAATTGTTGGTGGGTTGCTGAGAAGGTGCAGCGAATCTTGACGTTGAACAACACACTATTGGATTGCGGGAGAGGTGTTGACACCTGCGCAGAAGAAGAAACAACGTCCATCACAGTGGTGGATTGATTCGTTGAAGCCATGATTTGGCAGGGCAAAGGTCAACGAAAAACAAAGGATCTGATTAGGGGTTTAAGGTTTTTGGAGAAAATCCTAAGAAAACTCTAAGCTCTTGATACCATGTGAAATATAATGATACGGCTTACCCTAATATGGGTGCCTGGCTCTCATATATATAGATAATACGTACAATAGTTCAAATTACTAGAATACCCTTAGTATCCTCTATTAGATGTAGTTATGTAAGTAGATTAGTAAGATTCAAGAAACAAAAATCCTCTTCTTTGATATTTAATAAAAAAAATTACTTATTTAATTTGTGGAACAATTATTTAGAAGATATTTCTTTAAAAGATATTTTGGAATAATTATCGATGTAGTTAATTTTTATTTTTTTATACTAAAATATTACTCGAGTCAAAATTAGTTAATCTTTATTTATTTGATACTAAAATAGAGCTCTATTCACAAAAAAAAAAAAAAAAAAAAAAAAAAAAAAAAAAAAAAACTATTTTGAACAGTTAAAGGGCAGAATCTATTTAGATATTTAAAAAACGGAAGTCAAAAGAAATTGGATTTTGATTAATATGTAATTTTGCTATCTTATCTCCTCCAATATTTATCATTAAGCATCTTTATAGTTAAGTTGTTTTAGGCTCGTAACCAACGTAAACCCAAAACAACTTAACTAGCAGCATATAAGTGCATCTCTACTTTATATATTTGCTGGATTCTACAACATTTACATCACAAAAAAAAATCCCTAGCCATTAAAACAAATATATTATCTTGTGATGGCCATCAGTGGATCGATCGATGTCAACGGTCTTGAGGTTGTCGAAAGAGATTCAACTGGACGATACAAAAGGTACGGCGAGATCGTAGGCAAAGCGAACTCAAAAACAATATACAAAGGTTTTGATGAAATTGAAGGAATAGAAGTTGCTTGGAGTAAGACCGAGTTAACAGGTGATATATTCGATAACATAAGCTATCTTAGGAGTTTGAAGGCTGAAGCAAGACTATTAAAGTCATTAGATCATGAAAATATTATCAAGTGCTATGATTATTGGATTGATACGAAAACAATTAACATGATTACTGAGCTTTATACATCAGGGAGTTTGGAAGAGTATTTTGAAAAGCACGTTCATTTCCATATCGAGGCAATTAAGAATTTTGCTAGACAGATCCTTGAAGGGTTACATTATATTCACTCTCGAAATCCTCCAATCGTGCACCGCACTCTGAATTGTAGAAACATATATGTTGATGGGAGTACAGGCCGAATAATGATAGCAAATTTTGGTGTTGCGATGTTTCTTGAAAAACAGTATTATCCGGTTCAGCTAGTTGATATTTATAATTTTGGGATGTGTTTTCTTCAAATGCTTACGGGTGAACCTCCATACAACGAATGTTGTGATGATGTGAATGAACGTAACAAAAGGATTAGGTCGGGTGTTATGCCAGAAGTTCTAAGCAAAGTAGCAGATTTACAAGTTCGACACTTGATTGAAAAGTGTTTGGTTCCACCTGCTTGCGAAAGACCTGCGGCAATTGAGCTCCTCAATGACCCGTCGCTCGCACCCGAAACATTTACAAGATCACAGCCACGGCTACAAAATTCTACATCAATTACAAATGCACTACGCAAGTTTTTCTTAAAATTTGTGTTTAGTTGTTTTTCTTAGCAAGCTTTTAAATTAGGTTAGGAAATTATTGCTTTTATTGTATAGATATTCTCGGTTTTGCATCAAAAATAAAATTTTAATTATTAATTTTAATTTTAATTGAATATCTTTAGTACGTATTAATTTCGAAATATTGTGCTTAGCCTAACGCCCTAACCGTATAATGTCAGTAATTGCCTATAAAAACTCCCTTCAATTTGTCCCAAAAAAAAAAATTCCCTAAAAATAAAAATAAAAATAGTAGGGTGTAAAATAAATTCCCTCTAAATTCTCATTAAAAAAAAATTATAATAACAAAAAACAAAAATTCCCTCCAAATTTCTTTACTCAAACTCACAAACCCTAAAATTTGAGCCGTTGATGCTCAAAGACTCAAACTCTGTCATTCATTCACTTTCTAATTTCAATCAATTGAGGCGATTAAGCAGCTTTTGAGGTAAGATGTTTCTTTTTATAATCATGGAATATCAATTTCACTATCTAGGGTTTATCGTTAAATTAATTCTCAGTATGCTCGATTTGGGGTTATTAAGAGGAAAATTTAGGACGTAATTTGTTATTTGATGCTCTTGTAAAAAAAAAATAAAAAAATAAAAAAATTGTTATTTGAATCTAATTTGCCTTTAATGTTAGGATGTAACTATGAAGTTGGACCCTTTCTCTTTAAATAGTAAAATGATGGTACTTTTGATAATTGAAATGTGAAATGGGATGGAGTGTGTATGGTTTGCTGATGAATCCTACCTTGTTGATTATGCGGATCAGATGATGAGGTTGCTATGTCTCCTGAGTATAGTTCTATTTTTGTATGGTTGAATTTGGTTGTGGATTTTGTTTATGTTGTCAATTTATTGGGGGTTATAATTGTTCAATTGCTAGCGTTTTTGCTTGCTGAGGGCTAAATAGTACTAATAAAGTAACAATTTGTGATTAAATTGGTGCATAAGATTCTAATTAATATGAATTTTGCATTCTTATGTTGTTATGGTTAATAAATGAGTATGAAGAAATAGGGAGTAACTCTAATATACTTGTGCTTTGATCCAGATGACCAACAGAGGACACCAAAATAACCTGGTTGACTCTCCTCAGTTGTCTGTACAAGTATATGGTTGACAACTTGACCATTGTGGTGAAATATGTACGTGGCTATGACCACTTCATATATAAGGTAATTAATTGAGTAATAGTAGTATTAGTTCCGATGAGCAAATAGGATTATCTCAACAAATGTAGGGCTAGTTTATTGGGAAAATGAGGTTTGGGTTTTTCTATATAGTAACCCTGTAGTATTCACTTTTCAAGCTGTGCCCCCTCCCTTTCAAATTTCCATGTTGTAACCTTAAGATACGTTAAGTGATTATGTTGTAACCTTGGCGTTAACCTTTCGTTAGATGTTGCCGTTAGTGGGGCCTGCTTTACACATATTGAAAAAAATTCTCGATTTGCGTGCTAAAAAAATGTGGAGTAAGAGGTTTTAGGGGTCATTTTATCTCTTAAGGAACAAATTGGAGCTCGGATTTGGCCAAAAAATAATGTAAAAGCCCCATTTTGAGAATTCGAATTTCTGCAATTAAATTAGAATTCACAAATTGGGGCTTTAACGTTTATTTTTTGTTTTTTTTTTGTCAAATCCGAGCTCAATTTGGATCCTTTAGGGTCAAAATGACCCTTAAAACCTTTAACGTGATATTTTTCTTTACATAAATCGAGAAAAAATAATTAAAAGATCCAAAGTGGGTCCCACTAACGGTGACTGTTAACAGTAGAATAACAACAAGGTCACTATTAAGACAAAATTCTAAGTTAAAGGTTACAATGTGTAATTTTCAAACGGATGTGATACAACTTGAAAAAGTCAATACTTAAGGGTTATAATCAGAATTTTCCTTTTTTTTTATTTTAATAAATTGACATTACTAAGTTTGAGTTATGACAAAATGAGTTACTCTTATAAATAAACGAGGTTACATACACAGATAAAAAATTAAAAAAAAAAACATGTACTTATAAATCAGTGTGGTATATATTCAAGGGTAGGATTTTGTATGTATATCTTGCTTAGCCAAACAGCCGCGCGTAAGTAATGCTTGTTGATTTTCATCATTTTTATTATTATTTTTTTTACCTTTAAAAAAAAAAAAAAAAACCAATTTCATCACTTTTTATTGTTTACCACTTGATTTTATCAGCCAATTATTAGGTAGTCACCATTATATTATCTCCACCAGTGAACAAAGTTTACCACTTGATATTAGGCTTCAGCTACACAATCTTAATGACTATGTGGCAAAGCAAGATATACTTTACATATATAAATACATAATACCCACTAATTACCCCGTAAGATACATCAACATATGGATGAGAGGTTAAATTGTCAGATTTAAAAAATGTACTTTAAATCCTAATCATTCAATATTCAATTTAATCATATCATTTTAAACATTTATTCCAAAATTAAAAACCATGAAAATCTATAAAACATGACCAAAGTTATTAGGATTCATTGTTTAACAAGAACAAAATAATTAAACTAATAAAAACATGTATCTTGACTTTTTCATCTTTGGACACTGCCTTAGCCTTACTCTACCAATTTATATTCTTTCAATTCTCATCAAAACTCTTGTATACGGTTTTTATTTTGCCTTTGCCAAACTCTTCAATCTCATCAAAACTCTTGTATACTGTTCTTATTTCGCCTTTCCCAAACTCTTCAATCTCATCAAAACTCTCGTACAGTGTTTTTGATTCGCCTTCGCCAAAGAACTCTTCAATCTCATCAAAACTCTTACATACTGTTTTTCTTTCGCTTTTGCCTAAGAACTCTTCAATCTCATCAAAACTCTTGTATACTGTTTTTCTTTCGCCTTTGCCTAAGAACTCATCCATGTCATCAAAACTCTTGTACACTGTTTTTCTTTCGTCTTTGCCTAAGAACTCTTCAATCTCATCAAAATTCTTGTATACTGATAGAGATACTACCTAATATCTCTCATTTGATATTATCCAATGCAGCACAATAGCAACAGATAATCTTGCTTGATATTATCTCAACCATGTTGTGTTATCATCTCCTAGTATTTAGCTTGTAGATAATTATTGTATTTAACTAACTACTGTATCTTAGTCCCTCTATATAAATAAGGTTGTACACATTTCTTTAATATATATAATTTTATACATTTTCTATTGTTTATGGTATTAAAGCAGAAAGATCTAAACCACTTGATTTGTTTTTCCTTGCTGCGTTTCACCCTCTTTCCATGGCTACCAACACCACAATGCGCAATGATGTCTAACCATCCTCTCCCCTTATCATTGTCAACCTAACCAATTTTATTAAACTTACCAACCTGAATTATCTCTCCTAGAAGCTTCAAATTGAAGCTATCCTTGTCGGCCATGGTCTATACAAATTTCTTGATGGTTCATACCCTTCCCCACCACCCACGTTCACTACCAATAATGTCACCTCCACCAATCCAGACTACACCACTTGGGTTCGTCAAGATAAGCTCTTATTCGATGCTTTTCTTGGTACCCTTGAATCAAACATCTCACCCCTTATTTCCTGAGCCATGACCACCAAGGAAGCATGGGACAATCTTGCCCATACATTTGCTCGTCATACTCGTGGTCATGCCAAACTCCTTATAACTAATCTTCGTCCCATTACCAAAGGCACACAGAGTATCACGAAGTATATGAATGCCATCCGTGTTTGTGTCGATTAACTTGCTGTCCTTGGTGAGCCTTGCAAACCAGATGATTTGATTTAGCGTGTCCTTGAGGGTCTCCAAGACCCTGCCTTTCAAGCTATAATTGATGCCACAAACAACCGTGACACATTAATATCCTTTGATGAATTGCGTGAAAAACTGCTCCTCAAAGAGGTCTGTTTACGCAACACCTCCCTCTCTACCTCTTACCTATCACGGCCCATGCTGCCACCACTAGTTCTTCTACCAATTCCTCACAAGCTTCTGCCTCTCTTCCTTCTTCCCGTACCCGGTACTAACACCAGAAATCGAACCCCAACTATGGGAAGAACAATAACACACACAAACAACCTGGGCAAGGTTACAAAGGCAGGCGCCAATGATGTCACGCTCACGGCCACTCCCTGTACCGTTGTCCTAGCTTTCATCAAAAGTTCCCTGATGCTAAACCAACACTCCCACCGTCATACAACACCAAATCTCCACCGCAAGCTCACGTTGCCACAGCCGCAACCTCACACTCTTCCCCTTCTTGGCTCTTAGACACATGAGCCTCTCATCATGTCACTCATGATCTTTCTAACCTTGCTCTCCATCACCCATACGATGGTGCAGAAGAAATTGTCATAGGTAATGGTCGTGGTGTTCCCATTACTCATATTGGTTCTCTTTATCTAACATTTTATGTGCCCCTAGTATGACTCGTAACATTATTTCTATTTCTAAACAATGTTCCAAAAATAATCTTGTTATAGAATACTCATCTGTTTCCTTTCTTTTGAAGGACCAACTCACGGGGGCACATCTTCTGAAGGGACCAACTAAAAATGGGATATATGAGTGGCCCTCATCTTCCACTATGTTAGCACTCTCCACAATCAAAGCTCCTGCAATAAATTGGCATCACAGACTTGGCCATCCTTCTTTAGCTATTTTTAAGCACATTGTTTCAGATTTAATCTACATTTTTCTAGTTCGTTGTCTTTTAATTGTAACGCTTGCCAATGCAATAAAAGTTACAAACTTCATTTTGCTCAATCTACTTTAATTTCCAATACTCCTCTTGATATTGTTTATACAAATTTATGGACCTCCCCGGTTCATTCTTTAGATGGCTTCAAATATTATGTCATTTTCATTGACCACTACACCAAATATATTTGGTTCTATCCTCTCAAAAATAAATCTAACACAAAACATGTTTTCATCCGTTATAAAGCTCTTGTTGAAATTTTTTTCTCACAAACTATTAAAAACCTATACTCGGAAAATGGG